CAAGCCCGTTGCCCAGCCTCTAGCCTGCTGATGGTATGGCCATTGCATGAGGCCCAGCCTTTGGACAGGCTTCCTGAGATCACTCCTGGGGAGCGGGCAGCTCCACTTCTGGCAAGCCGAGTGCCTGCCCTGTACTTCACCTGCAGAGCCAGGAAGGCTCCCAGGGCGAGTAACCCTACCTAGGGGCTAGGGGGTGGGGCACATAGGCACCTGGTGGGGTACCCCGGGCTCTCAGATTGGGGGAAGGAGGACAGGCATACTTTCTTACAGATAGCCACTTCCACCCCATAAGCTGTGGAGGCTGCTGTAGCAGAAGCTCTGTGTTTGAAGCAGCTCGACAGGAAGGTAACTCCAGCAAGATGATGATCAGGTTTAATTTATTTAAATAACATAAGAAAAGTTATGAGAGCCCATGGCTGGAGGGCAAAGAGAAAGGAGCTATGTGGCTCTGGAAATTATTCAGCAAGATTTAAAATGAGAAATTTAAATCTCACCGTGCAGTCAGCGTGAACTGGCAAGTTTAGTTGCCGCTGTCACCACTGGTTTGGGAGTGAGAGGTAAGGGGGAAAGTCAAAGCGAGGTGGATTCCTAAGCATGGTCTACCAGAGGCCATTGCCAGTGGGCAGAGGATGGGAGCCCTGGTGAGGGGAAGAGGGGGAGAGTAGGAGACGTGGCTGCGGGACCAGGGGTAATGGCCTACAATGTAAATGGCCTTGCCAGGTACTTTCCCTGTCAGGGACAGTAAATTCCCTGGGTAGTGAACATGTGGTAAAAGCAAATGCCCCCATCCACTCTGGATGCAGAAAGATTTCCTTCTTGTTTACTTGATCATGTGGCTTTTTTTCTTTCCTCTCTACTGCTTTGACTTTTCTGCCAGAAATAATGCCAGTGGTTGTCTTCACTGCAGCTCATTGCTTTCTGTAGCCATGCCCGAATGAAACAGATGCAGCTTTCAGCAGCTCAGCTAATTTTGTCGAACCTTCCAGTGCTGTCAATGAAACTGAACTGAGATGATATGGTAATTATATTCCACCAATACGTGGTGAAACCATGGACATTAACAGGTTCTCTGGTGCTGTCTTGTCTGCAGAGCTGGGGAGAAGGTTTGCATTCTTCTTTCCACAGAATGTTCCTTGAGATGACAAAGTATAGAAAGGTTTCTTTTTTGAGAAGGTCTACCTTCTGGTGAACCTCTTGCTAAAATTAAGATGCTAAAGTCAAATCAAGGTTGGGGGGACTGCAATTTTTTTTCATTATGATTTTAGCGGCTGTACTTCTTTCCTCCAGAAGAGTGGCCGGCAGTTTTATTGCTGCGTACCTTGATGTGGCTGCATCCCTGGAGCAGGCACTGGGCATACTGCAGTTGCATTGCTGCCCTCAGAGGAGCCACTTTCCTCCAGAATGCAGAAACCCCTTCCTTTGGCCTGAGGAGCTCATTAAAACTTGAAAGGATATGAACGAAAGAGAGAGGAACTGGATCTCCTGACTTTTTTTATGATAGAAGATTAAAGGAACTAAGTATGTTAAGCTTGGCCCCAGGGGAGACTGAGGGGCAGAGACCACTGTGCAGGGCTAAGGAGTGGCTGGAGGGGTGTCATGATGTGTCACCTCCACTCATGAAGGGGAGGCTACCCATGACAAAATGCTTCAATAGGAAGTGGATATATTAAGCTATGCTGCTTTGCAGCATGGTGGAAAACCTTGTGCAGTCCCATTGAGCCATGGGACCAATGAGCAGGAATTTAAGCACAGCAATGGAGTATGTGCTGCAGATCACAGTTTTTTCCAGACAAGGGCTTTGGAGATGGTTCTCCTCTTCTGAGGGGCTGGACATGAGCTCACAGGGCCTTGCTAATACTTAACACCCTTTGGAAGTGTTCAAGGCCAGGATGGATGGGGCTTTGAGCAGCCTGGTCTAGTGTTTCTACCCATGGCAGGGGGATTTGAACTAGATGGTTTTTAAGGTCCCTTCCGACCCAAACCATTCTATGATTCTGCGATTAACAATTAATTAGAACTGCAAAACTAAACCTCTCCCCCAGCTCCCCTTTAATGCATCTGAGCTTTTCAGACTCAACATTTCAGTGTTGATAACTCTCGGGCTGTGTTTCCCCATCCTCCTTTGCTGCAGTGATCCCTGACTCACTGCGAGTGACGGCAGTCCCACAGACACTGAACAAAGTGGAACACGACTCCCTGGAACTGAAGTGCGAGGTATCTAAGAGCACAGCCCAACACAGCCATGTCTCCATCGCCTGGTACCGGCAGCGAGGCAGTGAGGCGCCTGTGGAGGTCATCTCCCTCAGCCGCGACTTTGTCCTGCGGGCTGGCAGCACCTATGCTCAGCGGCAAGCCACAGGGGATGTTCGCTTGGACAAAGTTGGGGAGACAACCTCAAAGCTCACCATCTACAACCTTCACCCATCGGATCAGGGCGAGTTCTACTGCGAGGCAGCAGAGTGGATCCAGGACCCTGACAAGTCTTGGTATGCCATGACCCGCAAGCGTTCCCAAGGTGCCATCATCAACGTGCAAGCCACTGGTCAGTGTCTCTTCCGCTTTTGCTTGCTTAGTTGGGTGGTGGGAGGTGGTATAAAATGGGACTGTGCTTTGTTAGGTGTCTGTGGCTTGGCTCCCTGCTTTGGCATGCGTCCCACTTGGGAGGCTGCTGGCAGGGTGAAGCAGGGCAAGGAGGGCCCAAGCACTGCCTGCAAACAGGCCAAATGTCAGCAAAAAGCAACCAGGGGACACTGGGGCAGCAAGCGGGCTTGGGTGGCAGGCCCTGTCTCCTGGCACGGTCAGCAACCTGGGGCTGACACAGGAGCTAAAACAAACACTGTAGTGTTTTGCACTTGGGAAAGAATAACCCCTTGTGCCAGTATAGGTTGGGGACTGACCTGCTGGAGACCAGTGTAGGGGAAAGGGACCTGGGCGTCCTGGTGGACAGCAGGATGACCATGAGCCAGCAATGTGCCCTTGTGGCCAAGAAGGCCAATGGCATCCTGGGGTGTGTTAGAAGGGGAGTAGCTAGTAGGTCGCGAGAGGTCCTCCTGCCCCTCTACTCTGCCCTGGTGAGGCCACATCTGGAATATTGTGTCCAGTTCTGGGCCCCTCAGCTCAAGAGAGACAGGGAACTGCTGGAGAGAGTCCAGCGCAGAGACACAGAGATGGTGAAGGGAGTGGAACATCTCCCTTATGAGGAAAGGCTGAAGGAGCTGGGTCTCTTTAGCTTGGAGAAGAGGAGGCTGAGGGGTGACCTCATAAACGTTTATAAATACATCAAGGGTGAGTGTCAGGAGGACGGAGCCAGGCTCTTTTCTGCAGCATCCAGTGACAGGACAAGGAGTAATGTGCACAAGCTGGAACATAGGAGGTTCCGCAAAAATATTAGCAAAAACTTTTTCACTGTGAGGGTGACAGAGCACTGGCACAGGCTGCCCAGGGAGATTATGGAGTCTGCTTCTCTGGAGACATTCAAAACCCACCTGGACACGTTCCTGTGTGACCTACTGTAGGTGATCCTGCTCTGGCAGGGGGGCTGGACTAGATGATCTTTTGAGGTCCCTTCCAACCCCTGACATTCTAACATTCTGTGATTTTAACATTCTAACATTCTGTAAGCACTTGGTGCTTACACAGGCAGTGAGAATTTTTGTGAGTGAGGAGGTAAGAGTGACACAGCAGAAACTAAAACTATTACTTTGAGCAAGCACTTTTGTGTATTGCACAAGGTCAATTTGCAAGTCAAAATTCTCCCAGCCTGAAGCACAGGTTCCTGCTAAGGATCTAAAGACCCAGCTGAGCTCTTTCTTCCTCTCTGATATTCCCAAAGGCGCTGACCCTGGCTGAGCAGGGTCTGGGTAGGACTAGGATCCATGTCATGTCCCACAGTTCCAATGGATGCTGGTGTCACAGCAGAGCTGCTCCCAGGAGTAAAGCCTGGAGGAAAGGGTTATCACTGGGGAAGCCTTGCTGGGCAGCAAGCTGCCTCTCCTGTAGCTCTCACAGCAAAAGCAAGCCCCTAACCCTTCCAGCTGTGGGATCCCTTCTAACCAAGGGATGTTGGCCGTGCAGGTAGTCGCAGGAGGTGTGCTGGGTCTCCTGATGGGCTTTACCATGCTGACATGAGTTGGTCTGTTTCTCCACAGATAAGGAATTCAGTGTCCGTCTGGAGACGGAGAAGCGGACGTACATCGTGGGTGAGCCGGTGGAGTTTCGGTGCATTCTGGAGGCACAGAATGTCCCTGACCGTTACTTCTCCATCTCCTGGGCCTTCAACAGCTCCCTCATCGCCAGCCTGGGACCCAACGCCGTGCCGGTGCTCAATAATGACTTTGCCCAGCGTGAGGCCCTGGGCCAGCTCAAGGTAGCCAAAGAAAGCGACAACGTTTTTGTGCTGAAGATCTACCGCCTCCGCCTTGAGGACAGTGGCAAGTACAACTGCCGGGTGACTGAGCGGGAGAAAACCGTGACGGGGGACTTCATTGACAAGGAGAGCAAGCGGCCGAAGAACATCCCCATCACTGTCCTGCCGCTCAGTAAGTAGAGACTTGCACATCCCCTCCTGGGGCCAGTGCTCTACTGGGCAGCTAGCTGGTGAGGCGTGATGTGCCCAGACTTCAGTGGTGGGAAAGAGGGAGGATAAGAGTTTGCATGCTGTGGAGGCTTGAAATCCAAACTGGCAAGATGGTGGGGGTTTTTTATGGGAAGGGAATGATAAAGAAGGAATGATATGCATCAGGTTCGTAGGTGGCGAAACATGCTCCCACCTCGGTAATGATGCTGAGATGGCACTTTTGTCCTTGAGCTGAAGGTGATGTGTGACAGCCTCTGACTTGCTCCTTGCACCTCTCTCCTCAACCTGCTCTGCAGGGAGCTGGGAGCTCTAAAGTACTCAGCAGGTGTAACAGGGAGACTGACTTGGCCTTGTTTTATCCTAAGAGGTGCTAGATTCCTGCAGGCTGTTTGGTGGCTGTTGTTCAGCTGTCTTACAAGACATTTCCTCTTACAAGACATTTCCTCTTCAGCATGGAGCTCTGTTGTGGTCACTTGGTGTCTGCCCACCCTGGTGAGAAGAACCCTGCCAGAGGCTTGTCTGAACACCTTTTATGTTTGTCAGGCAAATGTGATGAATACAGAAATAATAGGGTAAGAGGAGAAGGTCCACTGACTCATTCCTTGTTTTTCTCCCTGAAACTCAGGTAGCTGTGGCATGATGAACCATGCAAATGTTGCCCAGGCTACCCTGGCAGTGGGCTTTGAGCAAGCAGAGCATAGCTGCAAGAAGATTTTCTGCAGTGTTTGTCTCCTATCTCTTAGGTTTGTATGGAAATGCAGCTCTTTTCTTCTAGCTTTTTTTCCCTTCCTCATTTCTCCAAAAGAAATTCTGTTTCTTTTCTCTCCTGCCAATATTTGGTCTCATTTGTTTGGCTTTGAAAATTACTCTAGCTGGAAATCTTACGCTGGACAAATGCCTAAAATGTAGTACTTCTAGGCACAGGCTCCATTCAGACAGATTTAGGTTTTGCCGTTTGATAAATTACCAGCTCTAGAAAAAAGAAGTGGTGATTTTGCAAGGGTGCTAAGTGTCCGTAACTCCAATGGAAGATGTCAGGAGTAACCAGCACTCAGTATCTTCAAGCAGCTGTAAAGCCTTACCTGCCTGGGAAGCTCAGGATACCACTTTTTTGTGGTGTTACCAGATGTTGATAGCTACCTCTAGTATCACTAGCAATGGGAGTTGGGGAGAGCTTCTCCCAAAAGGTGGTATATGAGTGGATGTGGCAAGATGATGATCAAGATGATGTAAATTGAAAAATTCAGAGAGCTGGAAACTCTTTTTGGCAGAGCCGGTTGCATGCAGTGCATGTTGTAGCGACACAAGTTCCCTCAAGTTTTGCCGTGATCCCATCCTGGACCTGCGACCAGAAGACGTGCGAATGTCTCGTGAGCCATAGGCAGAAAGATTTCTCTCAGCTTTGGCCTACAGCTCCTTTGAGTGTGCAAGTCACCAGGAGCAGCTCGCTGCCCACAGGCTGGTTTTGGATGTGGTCACGCATGAGGTTAAGACGTGCCTGGACCCAAACACGTGGGCAGTTTCCTGCACCTGGTAGAAAGCCTCTCTGGCCAGCAGCGTCCTTCTTACAGACCGAGAAGTGGCGAGTGTGTATCATCTTCCCTGTGTGTATGCATTTCTCTCCTTAGAGACCAGCATCTCCTTGGAGATTATCAACAACGCCAGCAATGTCTTGGAGGGGGAGAGCCTGCGCTTTGGCTGCAACGTGCGCTCGGGCGTCGGGCCCCAAAGCCGCTTCTCTGT